GAATGAGTACTTAATGACTCTTTTGGCTGGAAATTAATTAAATGAAGGGTGGTCTCTGACTTTTGCACAGTATTGTATGAGATGGCTTATAGCATACCATAACACAGAGGGGTGTGTTTGTGTGTGTGTAAGGGGCTGGCTGTGGTGGTTCAGCTGGGAGTCTGACTCATTGAGTCATGTTGCATTCCTGCCCGTTTTCTCCCTGTTGTCAGGAAGCAGCTTAGTCCAAAAGAAAATAAAACAAACACAAAACACTAACCCCCCTTTAACCTGCAACACACACACAGAAGACAGGGAGTTTACATTGCCTGCCTTTTTGTTTAAACAATACACTCTTTTACATTTTATTTAGTAAACAAAGATGTCATACTCCTGTGTCTGCACGGCACTTTAATGACATGCACTTGCTGAGCTGTAAATGCACGTTTTGCACAGTTTCTTATTCTATTTGAACAAAACTGAAATCCAAATTCAAAAACTAAGCCCAATATACTGTTTACAATATCATACGATTAGCAATAAATATACTAATATTATTATTATTCATGAATGCCAATATTAAAATAAGTATTTTGTCACATTCTAATCATTCTTATCAATACGAAATGCCAACCTTCAGTTAATCTGAATATCATTTTCATAGAGAACACAATTGCAGTGACATTATTAACAACATAAGTCTATCTATATTTAAAATGTGCCAATCTTTCTTCTGTTTTATGCATAGATATTAAAATGTCATTCTCAAATCTGAGTGATTTTTATTTAGCCCATATTATTATTATTATCCTATTGTCAGTTTGATTAAAGAAACAAATACGATCACAATCAACTCAAAGTCTGCGTCATAAGCAAGCTGTGATATTACAGCCGCCTGCTGAAGAGATAAATGATTATTTTTAATGACATTAAAGAGTGAAAACTATAGTAATTTAAAGGTGACTAAGGCAGTAGAATTGCACAGCGAGAAGTGCAGGTCAGTATTGAGGCCAGTGTGCATAGTAGAGGAAAGGCCTGTATTTTGCACGGCTTCATTAGCATGGAGCTAACTGCAGGATTCCTTTTCCTGACCCGCTGCCTGCTCCCTCCACTGATGAAGTCATCCATCAGCAGCATGGTCAGCCCACAGCTTTCAGGAGGGGTGTGTGTGTGTTGTGGGGATTGTACTATATGAGTAGGGGTGTTGTTGGGGGTGGGGTGGGGGGTGGTCTGTGCCTCATAGGCCAGACACTACAGGGGCCATTACATTCAGCCGCAGTAGAGAGCACATCACACCCTGTAATTTAGCCGATTGACTGCAAACACTCACTCACACACATGCATGAACGTGTACACACAAACACACACACACGGTATACACTTAGGGAGATAAAAAAACAAAAACATGTACTTGTAGTGGACCACATACTACATGATCCACCAGTGTCCCAAGAGGCCTTTACATAAAGAGTGAGTGAGAAAGACAGTGTGTGTGTGTGAGAGAGAGAGAGAGAGAGAGAGAGAGAGAGAGAGAGAAAGACGGACAGAGTGGTGGGGGGATAGCGAAGCGCCAGTGCCATTAACAGGCCGCAGCATAATTAACAGAGTTGTTTCGATCGGAGGCTAGCGCTAGCCTCTGCAATAAAATAACCTGCTCATTTCTCTGCCTAATTATTTATAGACTGCACTTCTTTACATTTTGTGGTCAATCAGTTTCTCAGGATATTGGTCTGGGAGTTTGTAATTCGCTCTATTGATTGGATTTGGAACGAGTGGGGAGATTTTCAATCATTTCTTTGATCTTCTGCGGCAAGTTTGTGTTTCAGCCATTAAGTAAGCATGTTCTTGAGGCCACTGAGGGAGATGGCTATGAAAGACTTGCATTTGTTTTTGCTCTTTGACCACTGCTTTTTCACTAATGCAGAGAAAAGGCTCTAGCAGGGCAAGGACCAGTGGACAGGCCAGTTTGGACGGTGTGCTTGGTGCGTTCCGGCCCTCATCACTCTGCCTCCTCGACACTGCACTCTCCATTTTGTGCGGCTGCAATTTCAGAGCTGTGCTTACAGAAGGCATCAGTGAAAACTATGGGTGGCCAACAGTCGCTGTAATAAAACAGGGATGGAGAGAGGGAGTGGGAGAGGAGGTGGTGAGGGGGGGGGAGGTGGAAGAAACAAGCCTGCATTTACTATAATGTGTAGAGCAGAGCCGATGGAGTCCCACTGAATGAAATAGGATTTTTTAGTGTCATGTCTCTGTGGTCAGGCAAAATCTCCTTACTCAGGGCTTTTTTTTCCCCTCCTTTCTTTTTCTTTTTTTCCTCTCGCTAGGGGTTTTAATGTCCCCACTCTCCTTGATGAGACATCTTTCTTGTTTGTTCAAACCATTCATTTTGTGGCGGGCGGAGGAGGCTGCCGTCGGCCGCTGTATTTATCACCCAGCTCTGCCGCGACACAGCCTGCCACGGGCCGATTGATGACCCGCGCTGAGCCCTAGTGGCCCAGGAAGCCTTAATGCAATGTAAATGACTGAGACCCACTTCCAATCTGCTGCTGTCCTCTCTCTCCTCGTTTCAGACGTAACACAGTGTCCTTACTGCCCGTCTGCTGTAGCATGGCCTAGCTGCTTGTTAATATGAGGAGGCTAAATCAGCCGAGTGCACACAGAGCAGATAGCCCAGACAGTCGTCTCCTGTTATACGCTGTTGTTCACTGATGAAAGGGAAAACACACACACACACACACACACACACACACACAACAAAACTCTCATACAAACACACGTATGTGTGCAAGGGGAAAAAAAGCTGGCCTCCTTTGCCAAAGAAATGTCAGCACCTAGCAATCAAAAAATGTATTTTTATGTAAGCATTATCATCTTTCTTTGTTAACAGTTTTAAAATATTAAAAACACAATTAAAAACTGATTAATCCTTCTTTTGTGGCATCCAGTCATTTTTTGTTCAATCTCAGGGTTGTTTTCTTATTAATTGTATGCATTCCTCAAATACCCTTGTTTTCCGACCTTTAATTAAACTGGAGCTATGAGAGAGCTTTACCAGAACTCTTCCTTCCTCAGGACTCCGTTATAGACTAATTTTGGGAACGCTTTACTGTAGGGCAGCAATGTTAAGGCTACCCGAAACCTAGATAAGCTTGTCATGTGTCATTTTCCTGGCTGGGCAGTTACTTTTTCATGGCAACTGAAATATACCTACATAAACAGGACTTACTCCAATATGCATCACCTGTCATAAAGGCTGCTTCTGTCAACTTTAATGTTCAGTTGACATAACACATATGTCAGGTGCATCAATTTTTTCCTGATATTGGGCTGTGACATGACACAGGATTTTGTAGCTTAGTGTATATCACAGTGGCATAATGCTGATGCTGTGACATAGCTTAAATCTTCTAAATGGTAAAATGAAATTTACTCTACCTAAGGGCACAAAATGCTAAATTTGCTGATATTATCAGCATTATGTCACTGTGACATACACAGTTACAAAGTCTGTCATTTCACCCCAGAAAGCAAGCTGGTTGACATTGATGCAAGCTAATGTCAGAAAAAAATCACTGTCACTTGACATAAACATTATGTCAGCTTGACAAATGCAACATTTATGACAAATGATGCCCATTGGAATAAATGTTTATGTAAATGCTAATGTAGACCAATATCAGTAGTTATTAGGGTTTATGAACACTGCCATACAGTGAAGAGATATGCTAATTTCTCAAGCCCTATTAAACTGTAGCTTACCTAAGCAGATTAATGAAATTTGTGGATTTTCCTAAGATCAAGAAATTGTTTGAGATTCTTTACAATCATTTTAGAAGGACACTGGTATGAATGTAAACAAAACTCATTCCTATCCTTCCATTATTCAACATCAAAATGTAACTTACACCCACATACCGCACGCGTGTGTGTGAGAGAGCATTATGTGTGAGCGTGCGTGTCTGTTTGTGTTCTTGTGTGGAAAGAGTGAATAAAAGCGAAGCCTGGTGTTTGTTCCTTTAGTGTGAGGGCTGATTCCTAATCTGGCTTTTAAAGACATCTGTCACCACAGATCTCCGTTGTTTTGTCATGCTCCACAGCAGAGACAGGCGAAGGAATAAGGAAGAAGAATCCAAAGCCTGTCATTTCTGTCGTCTCGTGTTTGGCATATTGAAGCTGACACAAATAGTATCATTGCATCCCTGGCTGGGGAATTACAGTTTCAGGTAGAACTTTTGGCGATGGGAGACCTTTTGGATAAATGTCTTCTTTTAGCGTTTTGGCTAGCCTTCAGCAGCTGCGGATGAAAAGACACCAGGGATGAGAGAAATCAGCTTCATATGTTTCCCTGTTGTAGCAGTCAAAGGAATGGAGGATTTATTCAGTCCTTATTCACTCAGCCCTGGGTCTAATTCAGCAGGGGAATTCAGCTAGGCTCAGAGGATGTGGTGAGCAGAAAGATTGCCATGTTGCAAAAAACAGTAACTGTAAATGTGTAGGTGCGCGGCATGTGGATTTGTGTTTATCTATTGAGGGGGGGTGGGGCAGGGTTACTGGCACTGACAAACTTGTTTTACTGCCCCTAACAGGCTTAAGTGTGTGAGTGTACATGGGTATTGGAGTAGGGTGGAGGTCATGACTAAACATGCTCACCATTCAGTCAGTGTAACTGACGTAGAGTTCTGCTATACATACCATACTCGCATGTCAGAACTGTCAGAACAAAACCTTTGGATTCTTTGGATACTTTACTTTAGTAATGTAACAAGATCTTTTTTCAAGTAACGTTGGACTTTTCCCATTGCTCCACATCATGACATTTTCTCACAAAATAAATTAAATAGTGTAAATCAAAATAAAATAAGTACCAGGTTTTGATCTGACAGCAGAAATGTGGGCATGTTTGACACAAAAGCACCAAAACTGATAGCATAGGACAAATATGAGGTCTACATTTGCCTGTCTAAGGACTAAGCCAGGCTAAATTCAGCTAACATCTTTCTTTCTTGCCTCTTTTCCAGCACCCGTATCCTTCAGAAGAACAGAAAAAGCAGCTAGCCCAAGACACAGGCCTCACCATCTTACAAGTAAACAACTGGTGAGTCAAGTCTTGATGTCGCTATCTCTGTCACCAGCATAGCTCTGCCTTTCATTTTTGAAAGGCTTCATCTGCCTCTCCCTGCCAGCCAAAGCAGCTAATGCTCATAAAGTGTGAAAAGTGTTTATTTACAGCCCCCCCCCCCCGGTTCCCCTCCTGAACCCCATCCTCTCTGGCTAGCAAAGCGCTGGGTGGATGCTAGCAGGATGTGAGCGCTTTATCAGGAAAGTGTTTAGCACTAAGTCACTGCTCTCTGTTTGATATACATTTATTCACTTTGATATATTTAAGGAAAAGGGGAAGATCTTACGCCCCCTCCCCTGCCCCCGGTCTACCATCCTGCTTCCTCCATCCTCCATCACTAGCAGTGCCACTGCGCTTGCCTGCTCCCCTACCCTCCCCATTTTACACATGCTATATGGTGGATTAAGTCTCCGGTGGCCTGGCCAGCAGTGCCTTTGTAGATGGCTTAGCACATAACTGGGGGTGGTGGATTAAATAAAATGATCACAGAAGCAAAGAAATGATACAGGAATTACTTATCAAAATGCTAGCCCAGGTTTTATCTGCGGCTTAATTTTGTTCAGTACATTCTCGGGGTGATGTTCAGATTAATTGAACTGACAGCTTCTTTTCAGAATTCCGGGAAGGTATTTGCACGGATTTCAGGTCTTACACAAACTTAATTACATGGAACCCCATTTTATCATTCTAATTCCATGTAGCGGGGGTTCTATTTACAAATGAGAAGTCTCTGCCTTTTATTCACAGCTTTTCTTAATATATTTATCAAAGCTGGTTCATTTACAAAGTGCTCTATCTGTTGGATACAGGCAGGCTGACATTAACCGAGCTTTTAGCTTTATCTGGCTCCCAGGCTCACGAGCCACCCGAGGGTCAATTGATTTTTTGGTTCTGTGATTCATTTTTTTTTTCCCCTTCATTTTTTCCTGGATCACAATGAGGGACATGCCTGGAGAATTAGCCTGGTTTGTCTGCCTTATCTGGTAGGCATTTTTTTTTTTCCTGGGGAAGTCAAGCTACTTAAATTGGCCACAGGAACCGCTGTTATCTGCCTTTAATGCACCCTACAGTGTGGATAGCATTTCAATTACACCAGTAACCAAAGATTAGCCCCCGCTTGGCTGTTTCATGCCTCTTGCCGCCGTTTCAGTGCGCCACGCACCTTACCTACAGGAGCAGAAAATTGAGTTGCCTTGCCTGTGTCATGGTGATTAATGCAGAAATAGACTGCTAACCTGAGAGCGACTGGGAGAGAGAGACATACAGACAGAAAGAGCGAGAGAGAAAGAAAGTGAGAGAGAATGGGTGCATGAAAGAAAGAGGAGGGAGAAGCAGGGTGCTCTGTTCTTTTTAGGCCTTGAAATCTTGAACACAGGCTGAGATGTTAGGGGTGCTTCTGAAGAGGCTGCAGGAGGCTGATGGAGGGAATCACCCTCATTCTAGCTGCTCTATAGTGAAAGAGAGTGAAAGAGAGAGACTAAGTCACCCTCTTTCTATACCCTCACCAGAACACTTCCTCGTATGAACTCAGTGGAGCTGCCAGGCTGCGGGCTGCTGGTTGGTTGTAGGCTGTATAGATGTAGAGGGGCCAGACGGCTTCAGGAAAAGCAGCATGTTTTTGGTGCTTTTGCAGGCTTGGAAAGATGAGCCAGAGACAGGATGCCGTTTTTTTCCCTTTTTCCTTTTACCAGTCAGGTCGGGACAGTGAGTTAAATGTGCCTTTGTTCGGGCAGGCCCCTTTTTCCCTTCGGTGTCTTCTTGTCCTTCTCAAGGCGGCGGTGAAGAGGCTCAGTATATGACAGACCTCTGCCATATGAAATTCCTGTTGATAGGCCAAAAAGGCCCCCAAATTCCTGCTTTACACAGGCATTGTGTACGACCTCCCTTTGATATTGGGCACTGGCATGTATCTAGCCGGCACAGGGAAAGATAGCAGGAGAGAGAAAAAGAGAGAGAGAGAGAGAGAGAGAGAGAGGGTGAGAGAGGTAGGGGGTGGGTAGGCTATCGTCTTCAGTTTCCAGTTGTCCCGTAGAGGAGGATGTGCTGAATCACGGCTTTGTCCTGAGGCACAATCGGGCCTGTAGGGGGGCACAAGGGTGCTCTATGTGCATGTCAGCAGACGGTGCTTCTCCTTCTCTCGTGTGCCCTGCTCTGCCAAAACTTTTCCACCTCTCCCCCTGCCCCTCACCCCCTGACTACCTGCTCTCACCTAGGCCACACAGCTTCAGCTGTAGAAGGAGTAATAGCATGTATTTCATTGTTGTTGTTGTTTTTCTGTTATTATTATCATAATTATTGTCATTAAAATGGGCCATATGTCATCTTTTTCTTATATTTCCTTATATTTATAATGTTTATGTGGGTTTATGAACTAAAAACAGTCCTAAGTTAGTTTCAGATGATTTTCCTTTAACATGACCTATCTTTATCTCTTAAATAGGCTGCTGTTGTAACTTTGCCTTTAAGGCTGATATATGTAAATGAGCTCTGTTCTGACTTGCTGTCCTGCATTGTACCTTAGTCCAGGCTAAAGCACTACTTATAACTTCAGTGTGAATGGGTGAAGCTAAACTCCTTTAGGCTGAATAGGTGTGTTTTTTGTTAGCTGTCAAAAATATATGCATGTCTAAAATGGTACCTTCACAAGGCAAAAATGTCCTTATGTTTTAATGTTGTAAACTTAATGTAAAGAGATTTTATATGTAATTTTGATACATTTATCATGAAATTTTGACACCAATGTGAAGGACAGCTGTGTTCAAATGATGTAGAAAAATAGAAATAATAAAATAATGTAGATGCGTGTGCATATTTGGACAGCAACGGTTTGTAAATGTTTTTTTGTGACAGCACAAAAGAATTCTTTCATAACAGGCTGTTTTTGCAGCTTAGTTTCAATATATAGACTGTATGCACTGGGGCAGAACAATTTGTTTGAAACTTTAATGATTTGGTTTACATACTAAATCAAACTCTTCTTTCCACAAAGTGAGGAAAATTTGGTTCTGTAGCCCTTGAATTCTATAATTGCTAATACTTCTAAGTATGTCCAGCAGCTTTAAACTTTACCTTGCTTTGGCAACATTGTACTCGATGCAGTTGAGTTACACAAGAAAACTACCTTAAATTGAAAAAAGAATGATAGAAAATGAATATTTGTACTGTGAGACACTCAGAGAGCAACACTGCAGGTTAAAGTACGCCTTCCCTGCAGATTTCTGTATAAAGGTGCGGCATTAATAGCTCCTCAAACACTAGCCCAGATTGATTGCCGGAGTGACACAGCATCCTCTCAGATACAGCCTGTGTAAGGATGACCATTAGTCAGCCGTTAAACCAGCTAAATCTATTTACATTTTGTGGCTTTTTTGAAATTACAGGCAAATACAGTCAAACTGTGGTCTGTTTGAGTTAGCAAAGAAGAGCATACTGTTCTGTCCTCAGGTGAAGAGAGAGAGAGAAGTAGGAAGTGATATATAGAGAGAAAGAGTAGGTTGGGATGCTCCAGCTGTAGTTGTCATTCTTCAAGCCTATGTGTTATTCTATCAGTCTGGGCTAAATGGGGCTTGACCGCATCCTTTCATGTCTCAGCATCAGGCTCAGCATGACATGCCTCTGCTTACCACCCTAAACGCATCAACCAACCATTAGTTACCCCCAGCCCTTTACACCAAGCCCTGCCTGGCACACCGCTGCCCCACAGCCTGAAAGATGAGTCTGATGACAGATGAGCAGGGAGAGAGAGAGAGAGACTAAAAAAGGAAGGAAATGGGCCCTTGTTGGGCTGTTGTCTAGCATGCAGGCGCTGGGCCATTTCCCTGCCACTGGAGTCATCACTGCTGCCACGGCTGTGGATCACCAATAACAATAAGGAGGGCACTGAGCCACTTTCTATTTTTACCTACTCTTCCCTCTCTCCCTCCCTCCTTCCCTCGCTCGCTTGCGGAGGAACAAACAGATACAGCGGCTAATGAGAGGGCCAAATGGAGTGCAATAGGTGACTTATTAAAATTGGGGCGGAGCAGAGGCGACCTTAGACCCCCCGTCTGACGAGGTCACGTGGGTACAGCCCGCGTCATCAGGAGCCTGATGCCCGCTGTAGCCATAACCGTCTGCTGACTGCCCGCAGAGTTGCTGCAGCTGCAGACCTCAAGCTATGCTTAACCTCCATTGGTTCACAGCCACACCCAAATGCCCACCTAGGTGCAGCTGCTAAGCTAGCTGCTTGGAAAACTCCCCCTAATTTGTGTTGGTGCACCTGAATTGCTCTGCCAGCATGGCCCCACTGCAGCTCCCCTCCCTCCAAGACCATGCTTACCCCTTCTGGCATATTAGTGCTAGCTGAACTGTGTCAGAAGAAGCTAGCATAGGCTTGGAAGGGGGGAGTTGCTGTAGCAGGGCCATCATGGAGAAGACCCTGATGCGGTCTCACTTTGAGCACTGAAGAAGCTTTGTTACGTCAACAGCTCCGTTACTCTCCCTTCCTCTTAAAGACTCAAACGAGACATGCAGAAACAGAACGGCTTTATGATTTTTTTTACGATTTTTTTTATGACCCGCTAACTTGGCGTGCGCAGCTGTTATGAAATGCAAAATAATAACTAATATTTTCCAAATGTAATGTAAAAATATAAATTGGCTGGGCTGCATGTGTTTTTACACTTCTGATCAGAGCATGAGATTTTTTTTTTTAAGTGGAGGCATTTGAGTTTAGGCGTACTCACTTTGCCCTCTCTCTCTCTCTCTCTCTCTCTCTCTCTCTCTCTCTCTCTCTCTCTCTCTCTCTCCCTCTCCCTCTCCCTCTCTCACTCTCTCTCTCTCTCTCACCCACACACACACATGCACATACACATACAGATATACAAACACTCTACTCACTCTGTCTCTCTCTCCTTCTCTTGCCTGCATTGACGAGATAGTTGACTGAAGTTGCTGGTTATCCGTTTAACTTTGACCCAGATGGAAATGTCAGGCCT